CGGCACTCCGACGAGTCTCAGTAGTCCACGGGCTGTCGACAGGTACACGCAGCCGACGACCCTCGCTCTCGCCGCCGCCAGCTCGCCCGACGCAGCAGAGGCGCTCAAGGCGCTCCCTGCCTTTTACGACGCGGGAGGCGTGACGACGCAGCAGTTCACCGCCGCGTCGGCCGACGGCACGGCGGCGCGCGCCCCTCCGCCGCCGGCGGCTGGAGAGGGGAGAGGGGTAGTGGGGAGGGGCGAGCAGCTGCGTGCGGCGCCTCTTTACCCCCGCCGGGCGGCGAGCGGATGCCAGATATGGGGAGATGTGGCGAGATATGGGGAGGTATGGAGCGTGGCGGCGAGCAGGTGCCGTACTTCCTCGTCAGCAAGGAGGGGCTGCCGCTCGACGGCTCGACGCCGACGCTGCTCTACGGGTGTCGGCGGCCTAGAGGGCCGCCTCTTGCCGCTCGGGCTCCACGCGCCCTGCTGCTGGACAGGTACGGCGGCTTCGAGATCAGCCTGACGCCCTCGTACTCGGCCGGCATCGGCGCGGCGTGGCTCGAGAAGGGACATGCGTACGTGCAGGCGAACATCCGCGGCGGAGGCGAGTACGGCCCTCGCTGGCACCAGGCCGCGCTCAAGGAGAAGCGCAGCAAGGCGTACGAGGACTTCGAGGCGGCTTCGCGCGACCCGACCTCGCGACCTCGCGGGTTGCGAGCCGCGCCTCTTCACGCCCGCAGCTGTGAACAGGCGGTCGCACGCGACCTGATCTCGCGCGGTGTCACCTCGCCAGCGAAGCTCGGCTGCCAGGGCGGCTCCAACGGCGGACTGCTCACGGGCAACATGCTCGCGCGGCCGACGGCGGGGAGCACGCTCTTCGGCGCCATCGTGTGCCAGGTGCCGCCGCTCGAGATGCAGCTCGCCGTGCCTGCGCCTCCGCCGCACCTCGCCTGAGCCTCGCCTGAGCCTCGCTGCAGGTGCCGCTGCTCGACATGCGCCGCTTCCACAAGCTCCTCGCAGGGGCGAGCTGGATGGGCGAGTACGGCGACCCAGACACGGACGACTGGTCCTTCCTGCAGCGCTACTCGCCGTACCACAACCTGGACGAGGCCACCGCCTACCCGCCCATCCTCGTCACCACGTCGACGCGCGACGACCGCGTGCACCCCGGCCACGCGCGCAAGCTTGTGTCCAAGCTGCTCGACTTGGGCAAGGGGCCGTCCACCTTTTACTATGAGAACATCGAGGGAGGGCATGGCGGCGCGGCAAACAACAAGCAGCGCGCCTTCATGTCGACGCTCGCTTACTCCTTTCTTGAGCAGACACTCGCTGGTAAAAATCGCGGAGAGTAGCGCCGTGGACTGTGATCACGCTCATGTTAGCATGTGTGTATAGGATGTAGCGAGGAAGGTGGTGCTTTCTATTCGCTATAGAATATACGAAGAATGAATTTGACGCGCGCACAGCGCAACACACAAATCGCGCCCCTCGCGTTTCACGGCGAACGTATGGCCTGGAGCGCGCTGGCGGGGTTGCAGTCTTCTCGCTCTCACTCACACGTGAATCGCCAGCCAAGCGGCGGGTTGCGCAGCGCCGCCGCCTCCCACCCTGCCTCCAAGAGCGCGCTCGAAAACTTCGGCCACGCTGCCTCCCCCCCGCCCTTCACTGCTCGATCTGCACCCCTCTCGTCGGCAAGGAGCGGAACTGTCTCCCCCGAATCCGGCCTCGCCTCCGTATTTTCCGTCTAAAGAGCTGATGGTAGAACTCACCTAGGCTGTCTTCCCCCTGGTTTCCTGTCGAAAACTTCCTCTTTGCGCCGCCGGCCGGGTCGAGCCTCAGCCAGTACCGCTCTCCTACGGCACACGCGCAGTGGACGTGTCCTGGACATGTCCTGGACATGTCCCTCGCCGGGACGCCTCTCGCCCGCAAAGGCGTCGCGCAGTGCGCAGACGTCCTCCGCGCTCGCGCAGAGGTGAGGGAGCCGCGCGCCGAGCCGCGGTCCCTGCAGGCTGGAGAGGAAGGGCCCCCACGGCCGCTCGAGCCGCGAGAGGGCGGCGGGAGAGAGCGCCTCGGGCGGTGCGTCGGAGGGCGGTGCGGCGGAGGCGGCCCAGTCGCGCGACGCGAGGACGGCTCTGTGGCGGTTGAGCCAGAGGAGGGCGAGGCATCCGACGCCCTGCCAGTTGGCGTAGACGTGCAGAGCGGTGAGGAGTGCGAATGCGGTCCACACCGCCGGAGCAGACTCGCCGACCAGAGGCGCGAAGAGGTAGGAGCCAACCAGGAGGCCTGTGTGGGAGGGAGGAGGGAGGGAGGGCTGGGAGAGGAGGAGGGGAGGAGGGGAGGGGGCGAGGGCGAGGGGACCGACGAGCGTCACGGCCGTCTCCTGCGCGCCCTCCTTGGCGGACACGTCCGCCAGGTTCCCTATTCACACCGGCGCACCCTCAAGGTGTGAACGGCGCTCCCTCGCAGCGGCGCTTTCTGGCTGCCACTGAGCGCGAAGTGGGCGGTGATGGAGGCGCGCGTGGCGCCGGCCACCATGCCGCAGATCGAGGTGCAGGTGGAGCCGAGGGCGGCGACGAGGAAGAAGCGCTCGCCCGCCATCGGTGCGAGCATGTTGAGAGTGAGGCCGACGTCGTTGATGAGGTCAGCAAACAGCCTCCACTCCTTGACGTTCTCGTCGAAGCCGACGCCGACGAGCGAGGCGAAGAGGAGCGATCCACACATGCCGAAGCCGTCGCGGAGGACCCATGCGACCGCCGCCGCCATCGGCGAAGCCGCCGCCTCTCCGACGCCCGAAGCCTTGAGGATTGCGCCGGTTGAGAGGATGGCACGCAGGTACGAGCAGGCGGCCTGAATCGTGTCGTACACCTGGAAGCGAATGTACTCGGGCCGCACCGAGCCGGGGTAGCCCTCCGGCAGCAGCGCCGCCCGTGCCGCCTCAAACACGGACGCAGCCGTCGAGCCGGCGATGCTCTCGGCCGCGGGCGGCTGGTGCGCGGTGACGCGGTAGCGGACGCGCCGGCTGCCGCAAGCCTCTGCGATCTCGGGAGTGGCAGTCGATGGTGCAGATGGGTCCTTGTAGCGCTGTTTCATCATGGCCGCCTTCGCTTGCCGCCCAGGGTTCCAACTTTTTCCGGGGTTTACTAATACTTAGTGCTACAACCAACAGGCCCGTGCCAGAACCACCGGCTGGGGAAGTACGGTCCGCCCGTCTGGCGTACGGTGCTACGAGGGCAATGCGGGGAGAAAGGAGGGTGAGGAGGGCCACCGGCGGCCGGGGACGCGGCGCGGGGCTGCTCCCCTCACCCGAGGCGGTCAATGCAGCTCAGTTGCTGCAATCAGGCTTTGGTGGGGGGGGCCCGGTCCGCCGTCAGCGACCGGGAGGCGAGGGCGGGAGCCCGCCCTCGTCTCAGTCACCACCAGTGAGGAAACGGCATCATCGCGGTCGGCGCATATCGATGGAGGAGGAGCCAGCCACGCCGACCGACGCGAGGTTTGCTCGCGACGCTCAGATTCAGAGTGAGGTGCCTGAGAGCATGGCGCCGCTCGGCGAGGATGCGGGCATCGGGCCACTGCTGCAGCGGTTCAGCGTGATCACTGCGACTTTCATTCCCGAACGTATCGCGGACTTCAAGGCTGAGAACGCGCGAATTGCGTGGAGTCAGCATATGGAGGGCGCCGGTCTGATGATCGAGGTGGACACGGGCGGCGGCGCCAACAAGCGCCCGATCATTCAAGAACGGCCGCCATGGGACCGCATGAAATTTTTTCAGGGCCCGAATGACGTTGTCTACGCGGTGCACACCAAGGAGATGGCGTCGCAGATGGCCACGCGGGGGTACAAGCTCGTGTCAGTGGTTGCGCTTCCAAATGACCCGCAGACTCTGCCCCCTTGCGTCGAGATGGTGACTCGGGGCGGGCGCGGCGCCGGCCCTTCTGAGCCCGACCCGATGTCGCTTCCCATGCCGCCGAAGCCGTTCATCCCGAAGATCGGCCGAAAGGCGAGCGACCCGCCCGTGGCCGCCCAGATTCTTGGCCACTTTGAGGACAAGGTCGTGATCAAGAACGACGGGGGGGTGGAGACGGCGTACCGGCCGATGAAGGGGTGGGACGCGGAGTCGCGCTCTGCCGCTAATTTTTCCGCGGATGCCAACACCCAGTTCTCTCTGCGCTGCAAAATGTACGTCTGGCTGCGCTCGTACTACCAGGGGGATGACCCCGCCACCTGCCCACTGTCATACGACGACCTACGCAACCCAAAAGGTACGGCGGCCGGAGCTTTGAAGGCTTCCAATTTTGAGGGCACCTCCTACGACGAGATGAGGAAACTGGTGGCGGGCCCCAAACGATGTGTGTAAGTGAGTGTTAGAGTTTTGTCGTTTGGTATTGAAAATCTCTCTCTCTCTCGTCTCTCTTCACATGCTCTGCGATGGCCGTGTGAAGAACGACTGAGATGTCGTCGTGCAAGAAAGAAACGGTGGCACCTTCCCTTTTACTGGAAGAGAGAGCCCAAACCACTGTGTCTGAGTCTGTGTGTGAGAGAGTGAGAGTTGAGAGAGTCATTCGCAGCGCTTGATGGTTTTTCAAAAATATCTCAAGATACATCAGTAACCAGCCTCCGGCGGGGCCCCCCGCTACCATCCAAACCCGAGTACAAAGCGCCTCTCCGAGAGCGCTGCGCAGACGGTCTACTTACTAATCATAGAGGCTCAAGTGCGACAAGTCCACACACATAACATGCGACACGGGTGCCTGCCATACACAAAGCATTACTCTCACGACACACGGGCACCGGAGCGGCGGCAGCGGCGGCAGCAGCACACGCGGGCGGACGGATTCGGACGGGGCGGAGCAGCGACCGCCTGGGCGGCCGCTGCTCTGTCTGCCGAGCGCGGTCAGGTGCAGGGAAGCGTGGCGGCGCGGGGAAGCGCCGCGGCGGCGGCGGCGGCGGCGGCGGCAGCGGCACGCGCGGGCGGACGGACTCGGACGGGGCGGAGCAGCGACCGCCTGGGCGGCCGCTGCTCTGTCTGCCAGAGCGCGCCGTCTGCGCAGCGCGGTCAGGTGCAGGGAAGCGTGGCGGCGCGGGGAAGCGCGGCGGCGGTGGCGAGCAGGCGAGCGGCCCGCGCGCGGCGAGGCGGACAGGTGATCGGCAGGCGGGTGATGGGCCGGAGAGTGACCGCGCCCAGCGATCGGAGACGAGCCGATCGTCGCTCGGCCGCAGCTGACCTCGAAGGCGTGCGGAGCGCGACTGTCGGTGTCGGGGGGCGGCCGTCATGTGGCGAGGAGGGAGGACGACAAGTGCGCGTCGTACGGGTCGCTCTTCATCGGCCAGTCGAGCGGCACTCAAGTCACGACCGAGCATGGGCGACGAAAAGCGGTGGGGCCGGTGGGAGGTAGGACGAGATTCGTTTCGCGCTTTCAAAAGCGGCTTCGCGCGCAGCGCAACTTTGGGTTTGCCACGAAAAGCGCTTCCAGCTGGAAAGGGGGCTACTGGGGCGCCAAATTCACACCTCGCGGGACTACTTATGTTTTCGTAAACGTAGTTGTGGCCCCCCGCTACGTCGCACGAGTGCAACCGGGTAGCGGGGGGCTAAAAGTCAAGAGGAACCGGGAGGACGACCCCGGCTAGTCGCCGACCAAACCCACAAAGAACCCTGCACAAAGATCGCAAGGGCGGGGGCCTGTTCCTTTTTACCCATCTCACAGTAGAGAGGTGTCCGTTTTTACAGTGGCCAGGGGCGGGGCTTGCATTTTTGCCGTCGCCAGTCGCCCCCCCAAACGCTACAGCGGGGGCGGCGGCGGCGGCGGGGGCGGCGGGGCGGCGGCGGCGGCGCGACGGGGTGGGTAGGGGGGTGGGGAGCCGCGGCGTGTGCGCTGCGCGTGCGCGCACCGCACACCATACCGCATACGGCGGGAAACAGACGGCGAAGGGGGGCGCGGCGGCAGCGGCGCAGCGCGCGCGCGGCGCGCGCGACGGAGGGGCGGAGCAGCGACCGCTGGCGCGGTCGCTGCTCCGTCTGTCCCGGAGCGCCGTCTGCGCGGGGTGCGCGTCAGGAGAGGGGGCAAGCGTGGCGGCGGGAACGCGCGGGGGCGGCGGCAAGCCCCCCAAGCCTCCGTGCGCGGTGAGGCGGCCGGGC